AGCCGGCTCGGCGGGGCCAGGCTGCCCGGGGCTCGGCTCCAGCGCCGCGGGGCCGGGCCGGGCCGGGCGGGGGCACCTCCGGCAGCTCCGCCCGCCGCTGTGGCCGGGCTCTGCGGGAGGGAGAGAGCGGCATTCTTGCCCCGGGGCGCTCCGCTCCCGGGAGAGGCGCTCGGGGGTTCCGGCAGCTCCTCCACAGCCGCAGGTTTATACGGGGCCCCCAGCCAGGATGGGAGGTTTATATTTCACCCCTCATTAGCTTATTTCTGGGAAGAGCTGAAGATTTGTCACTGCCGGCGCAAAATGGGGGCTGTTCTGTCCTGTCGAGCCCACTGACGCTGGTACCCGTTCGGCTGTTCCGGCTGCATTATCCATACACAGCCAGTCATAGATGCTTTTCAGCTTCTGTTTGGCTGTTGTTTGTACAGTTACATCACGTTGACATGCTGTATTATGCTATATATACTCTCATCTATGTCCATATGCATTTCTCATTCACAGGAATAACCTGCAACAACAGGAATGACACCGAATTAGGTCAATCCTTGTAACTCAGATGACTGAGGAGTGCGGGAATTATTAGCCACTTTTAATAACGTTTTTTCTGTGCTGTCCCTGTTGCTTATTTATTTTTGTGTTCACTAAATTCAGCTCAATAATCTAGAGAAAATTAAAAATTGGAAGGATGTTAAAAGTATGGTTTTGTCCTCTTCCTGACAGTCAGTGGAAGAAATATCCTCTTTAAGAAGTAACACAGCATCTGCAATTGCAATAAAATTGAATTTAATGGAAGCTGTTTTGCAAAACTGTTTAAGAATTGGTCCGTCTTTTATAGGAGACAGAGCACTAGGCTAGTCTTGTCTAGAACAAGAAAGTAAAACAAAGCCAATGTATTCCAGTTCTCTGGAGAAAATGTAGCATGAAACCTTGGTGACAAACTAGCATAGATGGAAGCAAATAGGTTATATCAGACACTGGGCTTTTATAAAAAGGAACTAATCTCTGCCCCAGAACATTTCAGCGTCCTTCTAAGCTGACTGGAAGTAACTACATTTTTCGAAAAGGCCAAGTCATACGATGTTTCTGAAATTGACCTTTTAATTGTTTTGACAGAACCTGCTACAATTCTGACTTAAATTTACACACACCTCCACCCCCACCCCCTCTCTCTCCCAAGAAGTGGTTCTGAAGAAACACAGCAGGAAAGATTTTTTAAAACTGTCTTACAAAGGATTTATTAACCATTTAGTTTCCAGCCAGCTCATAGTTCTTCTATATATCAGGATTCTGTCTTCTAATATTAATTATTCATCAATTTTTAGGAGTTTTCAGAATTTGGATGAAAATTAAAATAAAATTCTAAAACTGAAGGAGTAGTTTTGTGCTTATAAAACCTAAATAGAGAAAATAGTTTTTCCATCATTTTGTGCTGCTTCAGTTTAAAAATATGTGGGAAAAGTAATTTTCCCTTGAAATACAAATGTGAAATTTCACAGGAAACTTAACCTTTTTTTATAAGATAAGTTCAATCCTTTTTACTATATCAAGAAAACTAACCAAAATTATTAATAACCTTTAACCTGGACAAAAAGTATTCTGAGACAGAATCATTATCTGATTAAGAAAAATCATCTTGCAGAACAATGCCAGTAATGAAGGCTTGTATTAGAATCTGATGACTTGCTGTCATCACATGCTAATATTTTGCTGTTGGTCTGGCACTTTTCGAAGGATCCTCTTTAAGTTTTGGGTTCCATTCTTGCTGTAAATAGAGGAAAACAGAAAATGGAACAAATATTTTTTAATAAACTCCAGAGTCCAGATAACTGAAGTTCATGTAAAAAAAAATTTGGAATCAGCAGTAAAGGCCTGATTTTACTGAGCAATATCAATCAAGATTCTTTATTTCTTCAGCTAGCCTAGGAGCAATTATCTTAGAAATGCTAGAAAATAACTCACAATTAGAATAGATTTTTTTTTTTAAATTGCAGATTAAATATTTTATTTGTACTAAGTTTTTTTTTTTTTCCTTGAATTTCAAACATGATGAAATAAAACATTTATTCTACTTAGTAGCAGCTGAGTACTTTTATCATGTGTCACTAGGTGGGGCTCGGCTCCCAGTTTCGAGCTCCAGCTCAGCATTTGAGATGGGTGCACAGATCCTCACACCACCGTGAGCCAGTATTCACAAATGAGGATCCTCATGGTACAGTTGAAGAAAATACCAGGAAACAAGGCTCAGAGGATAACAGATTTAAACACCCACATCCAAAGTGTAATCCAAAAACTTTCGCTTGTTATTTGTCCAATCCTGGCAAAAATTGCCCAAAAGATCGATTTTGGATTTTCTGTCTCACCACTTTCACAGGATAGAGCCTGGTTCTGCAGTTGAGTCATTCGAGCACTCTGTGAGGAACAGGGAGCTTTGGAAGTGATATTTTGTATTGTTGAAATAGAAATGAGATGAAAATTAATTCTGGAGAAAGAGTATCAGATTAAAGATTTGGTCCTTCTGTGTGAGCACTGATGACTTGTCCAGAGAGGTATTCACTGGCTTGTGCTGTCTCTCTCTGGTGAGAAGCCCATGTTGGAGCCTTTGGTCTCAGTCCCCTGGTCTACATGGACATGATGCTAACTTTATAAAATAAATATTTTAATTTCAATCTTTTATCCAGCTACAGCCATTTCCATGGGAGATTAGTACATGAGGATTCACATTAACTCATAACTCTGCACTGAGCTCTCAAGAGCATAACATTTCTTGCAAAGGAAAAGAAATTATTTACAGTCTTGGAGTACCCAGGAACTCACAGTGATTTATTGGAGTTTTAAGACATTTTTTAATTTTCTAACCATTCAGCATGCTTGGTGTGTTGCAGTGGGGGAACCACGAGGGAGATTAACATTTATGCTTCTGAGACCACTTGCAGTTTTTAAAGGATGTTTTACATGTTAACCATCTTCAGACATGTTTATCAGCATCAGCAATAGAGATGGGCAGCAGCGTAAGTATATGGGCATTTTTCAACTCTTCGTTTTTCATGAAGTCACATAGAATATACAGAAAAAATCAAACATGAAATCAAGCGTCCTGACTCTAAGCTTTAATAACAAAGTTCTAATTATTTCTTATGAGTGTAGTTTATTCACTGAGAATGAATCCTGGTGTTGCCTGCACTTAGGGCTCAACTTTCTTACCAAGGATCTTACCTGATTAAAACTGGAGCAGGAATGTGGACTGGGAGAAGAAGGCACTAAATGAAAACATGACAGTTCCTTGCTAGACTGGTTAAGTGAGATGACTATCCCTATCTGTATCCCCTTCTGGGCCAGACAAGGAACAGAGACCAATTACTTTAATAACAGGACACAGCAACAGAGAAACCCAGCTTAAAAGCAAATATTTTCTGCCTAATTAGAGAAGGTGCAGCTGAGCATAATTTCCATTGCTCTCAAATGATCTTGCTTATGTACAATAGCTTAGCAGGCAGGCACTGTACGTAACTATGCCTGGAAAATCCTGAACTGTAACACCCAGAAACTGAACATAATGCCTCCTATTATGCTCGAGCTGCTGGTCAGGTTTGCATTCTAAGAGCAGGTGTTTATGACTCCTCTCTCATGAACCATTCAGTCTGAAATTTCTCATGGCAGGTGCTGAAGATTTTTGGAAAACATCAGCATGTATTTATTATTCAGTCACTTTTAAGAATGAAATTAAAGAACCAGACAACATGGTATCCCTTCTTGGATAGTAGTAAAGAAATTCTTACACATTATTTGGATTTGTAATGGACAAGGAGAAATAAATGCTTCTAGCTTTTTCTCACATTTGAGAAAATTCATCCATATTTACCCAAACCACTTTGATAAATCATGTTGTATGCTCAGTCAACTTGGTGAGTTTCATAGCTAAAGGATCTGTAGGCTGTGCCTGCATGGTGTACCCAGGGCCTGGCTGAGATGGTCTGGCCAGCCCTGAAATGTTCTTCTGGCCTGTCATGTACTTTCACTGTTTTGCCTTCATATCAGTGATTGTCCCGACAGAGAGCAGTCACAATGGACAAAAACTGGTCCTGAGATGAATGTAAAGAAAAAGGAGAACTGAGTATTGCTGCTAAATAGATTCCTGGAGTTGATAAGGAATACTTTGGTTGATAAGGAAAGCAGGACCTAGCAGTTCTCTGAGAAGGATTAGGATTCAAAAAGTCAGTATCATGAAAGCATTTAACCTAAGGCTGTAGACAGTGGGTCATTATGCTTCTGTTGAGCCACAGTAACAGACTGACAGGCAGGACTGGCTCAGCAAAGACACCAGAAACAGAAGTAAAATGGAAGTCTGGGACAGTAGGGGAATGGCTGCCAGAGAGAGGAGGTGGAGGGAGGACTGGCATGCAAGGGACGGCATGCAGGATTTGAGGGAAGGGTGGGGCTGGACGTGAATGAGACTGAGGAAATGGCTGAAAAAAAGGAGGCCAAGATTGAAAAAAGTAGGAACCTGAGAGCTAAGGGAGGCTAGAACTGGTATAGGGAGGCATTAAACTGTCCAGGGAAGAGAGTAGATAGGGAAAGCTGTGTGGGCATAAACAAGCCATAGCAAAAGTCCTGAAGGTACTTAAAAGATTAAGACTGTGGGGAATGATCAAAAGAATCTAGGTTTGCCACCACTCCCTTTCACAAGCAGAGTATCAGCTTTCCTCT